GGACCTGTGACCCCGTGATCCACCCACCTCAACCTCCCAAAGTGCTGGGATTACAGGTGTAAGCCATCGCGCCCAGCCTCACCTGCACTCTTACTGGTCCCTTAACTGAGTCCCCTGCCACAACTCTCCACCTCTTCCTTGCCTTGACCCTAAGACAAGGTGATCTTTTTAACCACAGATCTGGATGCACGGGTCCTCCATTTTTAACATTCTAACAGCTTTCCATTCCCTCCAAGTGGAGCATGGCATCTGTGTTCTGGCCCTACCCCACTTGCCTTTTATTCTCTCTTCTCTGCCTTCTCCACCCGCATCCTCACCCTCACCCTTCCGTATCCACACTTAGTCTATTTCTGTCTCTGACAGTCTCCGCATCCAGTCGTGTCATGGACTTCTCACCCCTGCCGCGGCTCCAGCCTCTGGGCCTCTGAGCTCCTCCTCCCCTGAGGCTGTCTCCTCTGACTCCCTGACTCCCTCAGGCTCAGTCACATCTTCTAGATCCCTCTAGTCCTGTGTGCCCTCCTGTGCTAGTACATTCCAGATGCTAGGTCGTTTATCTCAATTCTTGTCTGTTTTCCCTTCCTGGACTCAGAGATTTCTGCAGGCATTAATCACATCTGAAAGTCTCACCCGCACAAGGTGCCTGGAACAGGAGGTGCTCACTGCTTGTCTGCAGAATGACTCAGGGCTGGGGCTGCCCTTCCAGCTCCTCCGGGTTTTCTGGGTCTTTGAACACCTGTGCATTGTGTGCTGTGTATGCCTTTCACTTGTAGGAAAGAGCCCTGCCTGCCTGTCCATCTTCGGGGCAGAGCCACTTGCTCTGAGTGCACTGGGCTCAGATTCCTTCTCTTGCTCGCTCGTCACAGATCTGCTGAGCAGTGTTGTCTCCTAGGACTGTGTGGGGCCCAGGGACACAGAAAGCAGTGTTCACCAGTCCTGCCCTTGAGGGGCTCTCAGGGGAAGGGAAGACAGACGTGAACTAGAGCACGTGACCTCCTAGGGACCACACACACAGACCACACACATGGTCCAGGTGGCTGCAAAGAGGAGGGCGGGCTTCGCGAGCATGCCGCCCGGGCTGCAGGCGGTGAACGGGTGGACAGAAGTGCGCCTTCCCTTCAGGAGGGAGCGGGAAGCCAGTCACCCCTCCTGCTGCTGCAACACGTTTCTCCCCTCCATGTCTGCCACGACTCTCCCTTGGCCAGATTCCCACCAGCTGCCCTAGGGACTCCCATGCCATGTAGGCGCTGTACTGGTTGGGGACCTCACACATCTTTTTCTTGACACTGGCCAACTTTATTGAGGGCCCAAAGACTGCTGGAGCTGCAAAGGACCGTAAAGATCACCTAGAAGTTTCCAGACCTCATCCCACAGGTGAGGAACTGAGTCTAGAAGAAGTGGAGAGTCTCACATGGCAAGTGGCGGAGCCATCCCAGCTGCAGCCCAGCTGTCCTGTTCCCGCTGCCCCCCTCCCCCTCATCCCAGGGCCTTTCCAGGGTGCCGCCTTTCCTTCCAGAGTGCCAGAAGTAGAGCATGTGGATCAACACTGGGCCATTCAGAGACCATGCGTCCCGGATGGATCCTGGAGCCATGGACAGTGCCTGTAATCACAGAAGCTGAGAGTCGGAAGGAATCCATGTGGTTCAGTGCTGGTCTAGCATATACCTTCCTTCTCCATCCTCACTTTCTGCTCCTCACGGGGACAGAGAACTCACAGCTTCCCAAGCCAGCCCATTGCAGTTTTGAACGGGTTTCTTCTTATGCCATCCCATAACCCCTGCCTGCCACTAAAGCCTTGAGAAGATGATGGTAAACTCTCTCAAGTACTCATGGAATGTCCGATTGTGGATACTTCTAGGATGGGTTCCTGGTGAATCCCCTGAGATCAATTAAATACAGAACAAGCTCCCAGGTAACTGAACCATCCAAGCTGTTACACAAAATTGTTTGTATTAGCCTCGTTTTAATTATCCAAAAAGTAATGGTTCCCTTTTTTTTAAGGATCATTGGTATTCTAGCCTTTCTGTTCTCAGTATCGTTTGATAGTGGGTGCATCTATCTATTGAGGTTAATATATGAAAACAAAGCCATGTACTATTCAGGGTGGAGGACAACGCCGATCCTCCTCTTCTCTGTAGGAGGGTATAGATGGCTTCGGCTCACCCAGTAGCTATTTCAGGTTGTCCAGCAGGGAAACTCAGAAAGTCCCTGCATTCATCATGACTGTACTGAAGCCCCCAAGAAACCCAGTGCGGCTCCTCACAGCCCTCAAGATGATTTCCGACCTTGCCACCTAAAGTGTGGCCCATGGACCAGCAGCATCAGCATGACCTGCAGGTTGTGAGAAATGCAGCACCCCAGACCCCCCACTCCCATCCACTTGTATCCAAAGTCTTCTCTATATTAGTGAGCGGAAGGGAGGACTGAGGACACAGTAGCCAAGCTCATCACTGTGACTTGTTAGGAGTTGTGCTGGAGCGCTCGTTCTCTACACCGCCTTCCCATAACTCCTACCTATCTCTTTTGGTTTTTAATTAGGACATTCACTTGCATTTAAAAATACCTGCAAGATCTCCCCCATCCCCCAAATCTCCACTGTCTACTTTTCGTTCTTCTTAGATGACGCGCTGCTCTTGCCTCTTTCTTCGCTTTCTCTTGCACCACAACACTTAGCAGTTATTATCCGTGCCACGGACCTTCAGGATACCTCTGTGCAAGGGCAGACCGAAGACCGAGCAATGGCATGGAAAACGGGACACCTCAGATGGACCGCGGGGCTGTCCTTGGTGACAGAGTACTGCTCTTTAACACGTGCTGTAGTAATGACATGATCGCCTTCTGTCCGGGGCCTTCACTTCGAAACAGAGCACTGAGGTCGGGGAGGAAAACCATATGAGGATGTTGAGCCCTGGCTGCTCTGGGTGGTAGCTGTGGCCTTTAGGAGTTTACTATCGTTTGCTTAAACAGCAGTGACTCGCCTCAAATTTCCCATAGATAGTGACCAACTCGTCTGAAATCCAAATAGAGTTGCTAATGGTCAGCCCTTTCCTCACCAGTTCCACTTATCCTTAAAAATGTATCACTCAGGAAATGCTTTTACAGAAAAATTGTGGCAAGACCCTTTGTTCCCGAGGAAAGACCTGCTCTAGCCCCAGAAGATGACTCCAGCGTCCACCTGGGACAGTGGAAACATTGGGCATGAAGACACTTAATAAAAGGACACTTTAAAAAGAAGGGGGCAGGAAAGATGGAAGGCAGGAGGTGCAGGCACTCAGACAGCTGCCCTCAACCCCACCCAGGATGGGCCACGGAATA